TCCTGTAGCTTCCAGGGAGCAAATGTCCGTCTTGGCAGCCATTTTTGTATTTGTCTGCAATTTCAAGTTACCGTGGTAATTGCTTGTCAGTTGTACAAAACCATGTGCCTTCAGCCTCCATGTCCCAACTTCTCTACCTTGAGGTGGTACAGGACCAGTCTGCCAAAGGGCTTGTTCACAATTGTAGATATGTTTGGATCCTGAATCAAAGATGGCTGTCTTGATATTAACGGTTGGGTATGGATTCAGAATAAACTTTCCTGTATCTTATTGTTTTTAAGGTATAGTATTGAAAATATTTGGTGAAAATCGAATGTAACTCGTGAGGACTGTGGAAGTGGCTGTATGATGTTACCAGACTGACTGCATTGGTTACAACATGGCTTGCTGATCATGCCATCAATCACTAGCTTGTTTAACTGCCAATTCTTGTTTGTTCAGGTTAGAATATTATCCCAGGATGTCATGTGTAATCATGTATGGTTATTCTGAGTCAGATTAGGTTCTTGAATGTTCAGGGGGAGTTTCATTAGAAGGGTTCAGGGGGAGTTTCATGAGGTTAAAGGGAGAGGTTCAGTAGGAAGGCTCATTTGAAAGTTTCTGCAGGAAGGTTCAGCAGGAAGGTTCAGGTGATGTTTCATGGGGAAGTTTCTGCAGGAAGGTTAAGGGAAAAGTTCAGGGGGAAGTTTCATTAGAAGGGTTCAGGGGGAGTTTCAGCTGGAAGGTTAAGGGGAGAGGTTCAGTAGGAAGGCTCATTTGAAGGTTTTTAAGAAAGGTTCAGCAGGAAGGTTCATCAGGAACGCTCAGTGGGAAGGTTCAGTGGAGGGTTGGGCTGGAAGGTTGGCCAGGAAGGTAGACAGGGAAGGTTCAGCAGAAAGAATTGCCAACAGAAATGAGCAGCCTTGGCGACACTTTAGATTTTCGTCATGTGAATCGAGTTGATTCTGATCAATACGTAGTCCCCTGTCAAAGATGAGGCAAAACATGCATCATTTCAGGCCAGTTTTAATTGGCGCCCTCCTCTGTAACATGCTGCTGACTGTAATGAGGGCTCCCACTTCCAGCATATTGGTCTTGATTGATTGCTGATAAGTGATCTGAATTAGATTTTAAATTAATTATTTTTTCAACTTTGTAGTGTCTGTGAGATGAATTCAGTGTGATCTGTTAAAGAAGTTATGAGACTTTTCTAAATGCATTGAAACTTCTCTGTGATGGGATGAAATTCTTGTAGCATACTCGAAAAAGGGTTTGAATGTATTTTTTATTTCTACGTATTTGTCTTGTGTAGGGTATTTAAGAATAAATCGTAGTAATAGATAGGAATTATGCCTTGAAAGAATTTGTTTTCAGTCTCTGCAGGTGCTGATTAAGGTAAACGTTCTTCTGTGATATAAGCAAGTTCTTCATACTGAGCTCTTGTAGTGAGTTCTATTGATGTACATTGTTTGCGTGAAGTGTTTGAACCAGAATATGATGGTGATGTTTCTAAGAAAGTATTCAGTGGTTAATGCATTAATGACGGAAGCATTTTTCCATAGCCCTGAGTTTCCACATTAGGAACTCTATGAGACATCTGCCAAAAGTTATTTTTATTGATTATCTGTCAGTAATATTTTAACTACCTCTTTTGTTGCTATTATATATTTTTCTGAAATCAATAAATTTACTTTAAGTTTATTTTGAATATGAGGTATCTGTGGTTGGGTTTGAAATAGCTGTGTTTAAATATCTGTAGTATTATACAACCTGCCACTCTGTTAGCTAAGCCCTATTCTAAGGTTTATAAGATGCATTGAAAGTGAGTCATATGGCAAATAGCATCCCACCATGCAGTCGTCATGCCAGTAGGTGGCATGATTAATCCTTCCCCTGAGAATGCTTTTTGACAAAAGTAGGCAATTTGTATAATTTTTAAAGAAATAGATTCATGAAAGAACAAGGATGAGGATGAACTTGTTCAAGACATTCTTGCTCATATAGATTGGCATGTTTTTGCTGGTGCTACCGAAATCCATTTTTCAAATTCTGAAACAACAGGATGCCCAATTAGTAGGATACGCACTCATCAAATGGAGGGCTAAGGCCACACATATGTGAATTTTCATTCATCAGTATCTTCTTCGCTATATTATTGAACAGTAAATTTTACTCATTATACAGCAGATTAGTTTGCATTATATTTGGTTCCAGTGGAAAATGATTTCTGCTTAAAAAGGTAATAGGGGCAGTGGGGTAGCCCAGTGGTTAAGGTGTTGGTTCGTCATGCGAAGACCCGGGTTCGATTCCCCACATGTGTCCCTGCCATGATATTGCTGGAATATTGCTAAAAGCACCATAAAACTAAACTCACTCACTCACTCAGCTAAAGGTAATACCAAAGGAAAATGTTGAGGTCAATCAGCCCTATGCTTATCCATGTGTAATGTATAAAATGCAGTGTGGACTTTAAGCATATACTCGAGACATGGACTGAATGATATTATGATTTATTCTTTAAAAAATCATATAAAATATCACCAGCTCCTAAAGATTGACAAAAAAGGTGGAATCCAAAGCTGTTGGCCTGTAGTCAAGATAATACCATCATCTAGTGCCATAGCTGTCTGTGACTTGAGACACCAGTCGCAAGCCCTGGTTTGGTAAATGTTCTTCAGTCCAATTAAATTTGACAATAAATGGCAATATATCAAGTCCAACATCTGTTGGAGATGAGGCGAATTGGCATCTTTTAACTAGTAGGCTGAAATATTTTCGCACAGACTAAAATATAATCACCTTGCATTTTTAGCATGCTTTAGGGTCTGGATTTGGTGCACTTTATGAATACCCACATTGTTTAACTGTTGACAACACACAGGCATGGAACATTATACAGGGTTGTTTATTTCTTCTCATTATGTCAACACATGCCGTTTATAAGCAACATTTGTGTCATATTATAGAATGTGACAGTGCTCGCAATCCCCGAGTCCGTATGAAATAATGCTGATGTTTTAGGGCATAATTAAGCTGTATAAAATATCATCAAATAATCACGGAACAATCACTAGACCTGTTGTTTCAGTTGAAGTATAGGGCTTCTAAATGCATCTCCACTCACAGAAAACACCCAAAGTTTACACTTCGTTTTTCTTGAAGAATCCCTCATGAATTGAATCCTCTGAAAGACAGACATTCATGGTGTATGTTCATTATCGATCTCAGAATCCATACATCAATGAAATCTTTTCTTTGCCGCTATCAGCAACCTAATCGTGTCATGTCTAATCATTCCCTGTCAAAGTCGCTTCACTGTCTGTTATTGTTAACCTGTCAAGAAGTCAGCCTGTTTGAGACAATCTCGTATCACATAACCTGAAAATAGGAGCCATGTTGATGTTTCAGAGTTTTTGCTTTCTCCTGCCATCAGGATCGTGTCAAAGGAAGGGATCTTGAATGCATGCACCTGACAAATAGTTGTGTATGATGCCATTGTTGTACCACACTTCCCTTAAGTTTTTTTGTGGCGACCGTTGCTCGGAAATTTCTTCATCCCTGTTGTCAGTTATCCTTGAAGCAAGGACTAGATGGTGTAGGGTCTCTGCAGCCTCATGGTGAATCCATTACCACGTTTGTCTAGTCAATAGGGGACATAGCTCGACAGGGCTAGGATGTGTTGTTTAACGGGAGGTGAAACAAAAGGCAATGTCAGCGGTAGGGCGGAGTTACCTCTGATTGATTAGAACAATACACTCACCCTGTTTTTACCATATCCTTTTCTGCAGAAAGGATTTTTAAAACTTCAACAATTTAAGCTGAATGAGTTTAGAGGGTTTCAGAAATTTTGACAAGAATTTTATTGTTTCGAGGTGGTACCGGAATGACTGATAATTGTGTCTGTGTTGCTCTGTATTCTTCCTAGAGGGAACAAACATGAACTGTTTTGACATCTTGGCCTCTCCTCTTTTAGAAAAAAAATGTTGTGTTTCTCTATTTTTGTTTTAGGAATTGTTGTACACTTGACACAATATGCAGGGTGTTATTTTTAAAGAAGAAATTCCAATATGGCATGTATTTATTGAATTTTGCAAACAGATTTGACAGTTCTGGCATCTTCTAGGAGGAATATTTTCAAGATTTGCATAAGATCAGTTTTTGAACAGATCGTTATTGTAATGTTTTCCTCTGTTCTGTTCACAATTGATTAGGTTGTCATCATCGCCTGATATTGCCCCCAGTAAGTAGTATCACTGGGTTTAAAAGTTTGATGTGACAGTTTAGAGACATATCCCCTCCTTCCCACTAAAGTAATTGCCAAAATGTTGACATTTTCAATGAATAAATGTTATAAATCCTTTGAACAACGTTGTGTCAACACCAGCAGTAAGACGTCTCATATGTCATCTCTTTTACCTACACCGGTGAAGCTGTTCATTTTCAGAACAAGCAAATGATGGTTAGACCTTTGTTCATAGCTTGAACATTAAGTCCTCTGCATGGCTGATATTGTCAGATGGAAATCTTGGAGAGCAGTTTGGATCTTTGTGTCAATTGTTTAGTTGTTTGTTATTTAACATCGTGCTCAGCAATAGAGGTATGTAAATAATTGCGTCTGGACCAGACAATCCAGTGATTAACATCATGAGTATTGAATTACGCTGTTGGGATACAATGTCATGTGTCAACCAATTCAGTGAGAATTACCTCCCTATCCCGTTTGTCACCTCTTACGACAGGCATGGATTTCTGTAGATGAATTCTAACCTTCACTGGTGTTGTGTCATTGGGTCCATACATAATTTTTGTGAAAAGATCTTGTCCAACTCTATGAAACCCCCTCCCAAGATCCACCACTGCATTTGAACAATGGAAGGAGAAGGTTGTGTTGTGTAACCTGGATGATTGTGTTCTATCATCTGTAAATCATAGACATTGCTAGAGAATTCATGGCACATATCTTCCATGTTCCGCTTCATTTTGTTTCAATTTTACCTGCATCACTGTTTTTCTGCTTTCAGTTGGAGGTTATACAGAAGCAACTGGATGGCTTGAGCTGAACATAGCAGACACACAGACATGGGTCATGTGACAGGCACAGACAGCAATATCGGTATTTATCACCCGCGTCCCAATGTTGCAGTCTGCTGCCACTGATGGACGTGCAATAAGTTACTCCTGCGATATTGGAATTGGACAAGCTGAGCGGAAAATTGTCACCAACTGATTTAAGTGGCAGCTCAAGTCATGGATATTTTCTTATTGCAGAGGCTAGATTATGTTTTTCCAATTTATTAACAAAAAGTGTGATTGAGTTTGGGAGAAAATATATTAATGAAATACTCCAATTGATTCCATTAGTAATGTGATAGAATGACAGAGTTGGAATGTTGTGTAGGGATGGTACACATTGACCTTCCAAAATACTGTGTACCAGTGCTGATAAGTAAAGAGTATGGGGTAGCCATATTCCAGTCATATACTATAGGACCATAGTTACATGCTGGGGTAGCCATATTACAGTCATAAAGGACCATAGTTACACTGGGGTAGCCATATCACAGTCATATACTATAGGACCATAGTTACATGCTGGGGTAGCCATATTACAGTCATAAAGGACCATAGTTACATGCTGGGGTAGCCATATTCCAGTCATATACTATAGGACCATAGTTACATGCTGGGGTAGCCATATCACAGTCATAAAGGACCATAGTTACATGCTGGGGTAGCCATATCACAGTCATATACTATAGGACCATAGTTACATGCTGGGGTAGCCATATTACAGTCATATACTATAGGACCATAGTTACATGCTGGGGTAGCCATATTACAGTCATATATATAGGACCATAGTTACATGCTGGGGTAGCCATATTGCAGTCATATAGGACCATAGTTACATGCTGGGGTAGCCATATTACAGTCATATAGGACCATAGTTACATGCTGGGGTAGCCATATTACAATCATAAAGGACCATAGTTACATGCTGGGGTAGCCATATCACAGTCATAAAGGACCATAGTTACATGCTGGGGTAGCCATATCACAGTCATATACTATAGGACCATAGTTACATGCTGGGGTAGCCATATTACAGTCATAAAGGACCATAGTTACACACTGGGGTAGCCATATCACAGTCATATACTATAGGACCATAGTTACATGCTGGGGTAGCCATATTACAGTCATAAAGGACCATAGTTACATGCTGGGGTAGCCATATTACAGTCATAAAGGACCATAGTTACATGCTGGGGTAGCCATATTACAGTCATATAAAGGACCATAGTTACATGCTGGGGTAGCCATATTACAGTCATAAAGGACCATAGTTACATGCTGGGGTAGCCATATTACAGTCATAAAGGACCATAGTTACATGCTGGGGTAGCCATATTACAGTCATAAAGGACCATAGTTACATGCTGGGGTAGCCATATTACAGTCATAAAGGACCATAGTTACATGCTGGGGTAGCCATATTACAGTCATAAAGGACCATAGTTACATGCTGGGGTAGCCATATCACAGTCATATACTATAGGACCATAGTTACATGCTGGGGTAGCCATATTACAGTCATATAGGACCATAGTTACATGCTGGGGTAGCCATATCACAGTCATAAAGGTCCATAGTTACATGCTGGGGTAGCCATATTACAGTCGTATAGGACCATAGTTACATGCTGGGGTAGCCATATTACAGTCATATAGGACCATAGTTACATGCTGGGGTAGCCATATCACAGTCATAAAGGACCATAGTTACATGCTGGGGTAGCCATATTACAGTCATATAGGACCATAGTTACATGCTGGGGTAGCCATATTACAGTCATATAAAGGTCCATAGTTACATGCTGGGGTAGCCATATACAGTCATAAAGGACCATAGTTACATGCTGGGGGATATCACAGTCATATAGGACCATAGTTACATGCTGGGGTAGCCATATCACAGTCATATAGGACCATAGTTACATGCTGGGGTAGCCATATCACAGTCATAAAGGTCCATAGTTACATGCTGGGGTAGCCATATTACAGTCGTAAAGGACCATAGTTACATGCTGGGGTAGCCATATACAGTCAGATAGGACCATAGTTACATGCTGGGGTAGCCATATTACAGTCATAAAGGACCATAGTTACATGCTGGGGTAGCCATTACAGTCATAAAGGACCATAGTTACATGCTGGGGTAGCCATATCACAGTCATAAAGGACCATAGTTACATGCTGGGGTAGCCATATCACAGTCGTATAGGTCCATAGTTACACACTGGGGTAGCCTTATTACAGTCATAAAGGACCATAGTTACATGCTGGGGTAGCCATATTACAGTCATAAAGGTCCATAGTTACATGCTGGGGTCTAGAGTCACAGTCATATAGGTCCATAGTTACACACTAGGGTCTAGAGTCACAGTCATATAGGTCCATAGTTACACACTGGGGTCTAGAGTCACAGTCATATAGGTCCATTGTTACACACTAGGGTCTAGAGTCACAGTCAGTCATATGAGTTCAGTGTTATACAGTGGGTCAGCCTTACAGGAGCTGTACAGTGGAGTTACTTTATAACTGTCATATGGGTTTGGTGTTATACAATGGGTTCAGTTTTTCACAGTCACTTGGGACTTGTTTTATACAGCGTGTTAGCTATATATCGGTCTTATAGTTAAAGGGTTACACGTAGGGTAGGTTCTACAACCAGGGGAAGTCAATGGTATTGAGTTAGGGGTTTATGGAACCCTACACAGATAGGTTGAGATGTCCCTGCTTGGTCAGTAGCTAAATGTTAGGACTGTGATGAGTGGATGGGAGTTGGAGGGGGTGTGAAAATGGCTTTGTGTAGACAGAGATGGATAATTAGGCAGGAGACCATTTCTTTGTAGTAAGGTAGAATACTTAATGAACTAAAGTATGTGTGAACTTGCTCCATGTGTGAATGTTGATATTCACTTGTTGGCAGAGATTGTTCTCTGGTTGTCATGGAGACCCAGCCTCACACTGAGTCTACTTCTTCGATAATTAATTCAGGAAGGTCGGAAGTACTGTGTTCCTAAGATGTATTAAAAAGTGTGTTGTTAGTTATGCTGTCATGTTGTGAGATGTTAGGTGACGAATATGTTTTTGAATATGTCAATGTGGATGAGATATTCATTGAAACATCTTACAATGGCAGGTAAAACAACAATGATCCAAAGATTTCTGTAAATGATTATCATTTTTTCATCTTCCTTATACTGACAATAAATCTTACAAACCATCGATTTTCTTATCTTTTACTCAAAGAGCAAGTGGAAGAAAATGATGATTCAAGTGCAAGAGTCATGTGCAGAGTTGAGGCCTTTAGGTGCACCAGGATCTGCTTTTGTAGGCTTAGATCCAACAGAGACCACATAAGTCTCTATTATATGGTCTCAGGATCCAAGAAGGGCTTAGATGATGGACCTTGTTTAGCAACATCATATCCATGCTTACTGGCTGTACCAAGTGTCTGCCTGCCTGTCTGTCTGTCTGTCTGTCTGTCTGTCTGTCTGTTTGTGTCCATATATCGCCTTCTCTCTCTCTCATAGCTCATGGTAACCATATTATGCAATATAGAATAACTATATTTGCACACGTGCCCATCACACCTAACTGACAGAGACTATGGGGCTACTGACACAACACAGCCCTCTTTGCCAAGTTATGCCAACCATGTCGATACATCATCCCTCAACACATCTCTCTGTCTCTCTCTCTCCTCTCTCTATCTATCTTTCTTTTTCCTCCACCCTCTCTATCGTTCTTCTTTCTTTTTCCACCTCTCTCTCTCTTTCTCCTCTCTTAGTCTCTATCTCTTAGTCTCTCTCTTTCTTTCTTTCTTTTTCCTCCCCTTCTCTCTTTCTTCTTTCTTTCTTTTTCCTCACTCTCCCTTTCTCTCCCTCTCTTAGTCTTTTTCTCTCTTAGTCTCTATCTCTTAGTCTCTTTTTCTCTCTTCTCCTCTCTTGTCTCCAACCCACCAACCCACTCACTCACACTAAGTCATGTCATACGCAGGTGAGTCAGTAAATCCACATGAGCTTGTGGGTTTTTTACACACAAACCTTCGTGATTTTTAAAAAGTTCTTCGTGTACCTCCCGGCCTATTTAAAGTATGTTCTAAGAACTTGTCAGGTAATTACCATACACTTTATTCAACAGTGGAAAGGGCCGGCTGATTGCAGTAATACAACCTGTCTGTATAGACAAGCCTTTTCACCAATAGTGAAGCAGTGTGTTTGCTGAAGAGGCCCCCTCTCAATAGGTATGCTCCGTTTACGGCAAGTTATGGGTTAGAGGATCACGCAGTGTTTGTTTGGCTTTGAAACAGGATGAGACATATGCACAATCTTGTATATATCTACAGGGTTGTCCCAGTTTATGGTAGGACAGCGACAAGAGCTAGTTGTATGGGTCAACACTTGTGCTTGGTATTGGTGTGTTTGCTCTCGGTGTTGGCAGGAAATCTTTGATTGTCCCTCGATCAATAATTGATGGTGGATTTCATCTGTGGACAAACACTGAGATGGGGCAGAATCTTTAAACTGTTTACTTCCATAAATGCTCCTTTATCACTTAATCGAGACTGCTCTCTGGAGAGTTTACTGTTATTTATCAAAAATTGTTGTCTATTTGGACAGGACAGTGAAAATAAATGTTGAAACAGCATGATCATGATGTGATCCTTGATTATAAGACTGTATGAAATGGCCCCTTTGACCCCGGTAGTTCTCCCCTTCCGCCAAGAAGCCAACAGGGGACATATTTCTGATTGATATTTCATTTTATGTTTAAAGAATCTGCTTATGTGTCATTGGCTGTCCCTAAATGAAATGTATGTGCAGACATATATTTGTTATATGTCAGAATAGAAAATACATTTGTTTGTTGAATTTGTTGTTTTACCTTTGACATCTTGGGTCAGTTGTATTACAAGAGAAGATACGTCAAGCATACAACTTGAGTGAGTGAGTGAGTTGGGATTTACACTGCTTTTAGAAATATTCCTGCAACGTCCTTGCAGGGGACATGAGTAAGAGGCCTCACGCATTGTATCCATGTGGGGAATCGAACACCTCAGCATGACGTGTGAATATATTTAAAAGCATGCTAAACACAGCTCCCATGCAGCTGGAAGTTTATATGTGTGAAGTTAGTTTGAATTCTAAACTTGGCTGGAGTAAAAATATTCTCGGAAGTCATGATGCACTTCTACATGAGTAGCTAACCTGCATGACGGCATGAGCATTAGAATTGGTGCTACTTCCTTAGTTCAAGCGAGACCCATAATGTAAGGTGTCCATTAGTAATCATGACTCAGTTTTCTATTGATCATCATCGTAACTTGTGACTAGAATGGTCTAATGAGAACTATGGCATTTTGTTGCTGTTGCTGCTCATAATATCTATCATCGTCCTGAAATCCGGGTTTGATTCCCCACATGGGTACAATGTGTGAAGTCCATTTCTGCTGTCCCCCATCGTTATATTGCTGGATGGTGTAAAACCATACTCGCTCATTCACTCATTGCAACAACCCATGCATTGTCTGGTACATACAAGCTGCCATCATATAGCTGGAATATTGTTGAGTATGTTAACAAACAAAAGTGAAACAAAAATCCGAAGATTATTCTATAAATTTAACTGTAACACCAACACTAAGTTTCTCAGACTTCAAAACTAAGAGGACTAATTTTTTGAAAATAATTTCACTACATTTTATTGTCACTACTGAAACTTTCATGTGCGCACCCACTGACCTGCCAAACATGCGTACTGCTAGATTTAAGTAGTGATGAGACGGCAAACACAATAAATGTGAGGAATAGAGTGGAGTGCCAATGTTTCCATAGAGAGTTGGTTTTTAGTAACTTCATGCAGGAAAGAAAAGCATGATACCTTGTCCATTATAAGGGCAGTATTTAGTTCCCTGTAAGCCGGGATTGTGGACAATGATCTGCAGTTCATTCCGAATGTAAAACACTATTGGTCGATCTGATCCAATTACCAGATCTCGCTGAACCACTAAGTGAACTGAGATCTTGCACACTCCACTGATTTTTGTACGTAATTTGTCATGATATACGTAAATGCAATTTGTGATGGTTCTTCTTGCCTATTGGTCGACTGCCAGAGGCGGCTGATTGGTCCATTTATATCATTATGATCACAACGAAGCCTGATTTGGTGAGAGTGTCTTGTTTGATGTTGCACAGATAAAAAGTTAATTGAAATTTGGATCTTAAGATTTCCTCCTGTCTTCTGATGATGGATTTCGACCAATCAGGGATGTCCATGAAAACTGAATCAAAGACCAATAAACGCCATGAGAAACTCTTAAGACTTCTCCTGCATTATGGAGAGGCTTTTTATTCAAATCTATTTCTTTCTCAATAACACAAATCAAAGCTTGTTATATTGATTATTATGCTGTTGAGATTTTTCTTTGATATAACCAGTGTTTTTAAAGAAAAAAAATCAATTTTCCAAACTAGCGACACACAAAAAATCTTCTGTTACATTAAGCAGGGACAATTGTGTGACCTTTTTGTGTTGTCTTCTAATCATCTACACCATGAATAATGCAAAAGCACTGTTTAAGTATTTTCCCTATTTAATACCCTTGGGGCTCTGAGGAAAGCAATCAATCGTGTTAGGAACTACTACCAAATAATATTACACTTTGTATCAAATTCTAGGAAATCTTTCTTCAGGTATTGGCAGATTCTGAGGATCTCACATACAGATACTGTGCATATGAGATGTAACAGGACCAATACCTTAGCAACTTTGTGCCTCGTTATTTTAGACCGGACCAATTATATTTCTTGTTTTACGGATCCGCCAGTCATATTTTTTAAAGAATAAGGAAAAAAATAAACATTAATTTTTCTTGCTCAACAAATACAATCTTAATGTTAATGTGGTATAAGTGAAATACTCTGGAAATCAGTGAGTGAGTGACTTTAGTTTAACGCCACTTTTAGCAATATTCGAGCAATATCATGGTAGGGGACACCAGAAATGGGCTCCACATGTTGTACCTATGCAGGGAATTGAACCCGGGTCGTCGGCATAACGAGCGACTGCTTTAACCGCTAGGCTACCCCACTGCCCCCTTGAAATCAGTGTGAAACCTAAACTCACTCAACTTATTTTTAGTTGATATGAACAATCCAAAAGAGTTAACATGTAAACTGTGGGTTTTGGGTTTGACTGGTGATCCTTTTTTAAAAATATTTCCCTCCTGCCTTCAGGTTTTCTGAGGACATAAATCCTTAAAACAAGAAATAAAGTTGGTCTGGCTTTAAAATGAAATGAAACACACCCACAATTGTTCCTCTTTAAAATGATAAAGTTATCAATGACTTGTTTATGCAGTCCTGTCAATCTAAATACCTGTCTTAGGTATGTGTGATGAACTGACTTTGATGTTATAATTACCTGGAATACTCCCAAATATTTTCCCTTGTTCTGTCTGGTACTGGGAAAACTGGAAGATGTATCAATGTTATTCTAACATATCTAGATATATCACTAAGACTTTGAATTTGAACAGTATTGTAGTTGGAGTGAGTGAGTATGGTTTTATGCCACTTTTAGAACTATTCCAGCATCACAGAGGGGGACACCTGAAATGAGCTTTACGCATAGTACCCATGTGGGAACTGAACCCAGGTTTTCAACGTACAAGGCTTTCCCACTGCCCCATCATGGTTAGAACACAGCATGTGACTATATGTTTTGGGAAAGTTCAAAGTGATGCTGTGTAATGTAACTGCAAACATGTGTATTTGTATGTCGATTTTCTTAGAAAATAGGGGCGGTGGGGTAGCCTAGTGGTTAAAGCGTCCGCTCGTCACGCTGAAGACCCAGGTTCGATTCCCACATGGATACAATGTGTGAAGCCCATTCCTGGTGTCCCCCGCCTTGATATTGCTGGAATATTGCTAAAAGCAGCATAAAACTAAACTCACTCACTATTAGAAACTGCATACATGAGCATCCATTTTCCAAACTTTTAGTATTTGGTTTATGACAGGCTACATTTCTGAATCAGTAAATGATGGGAGAATATTAAATAGGTTTGAAACAATGAAGGAATATTATTCAACTTCATTCAATACCCCAAAATGACATTTGATTTTAATGTTGAAACAAAGATCATGATTTTCTTTATAAAATTGATTCTGCTGAGGTACAACTGGAACTATGGTAACATTTCCTGATTCTCTGGTTTC